ACTGTCATTGAAATATCTTCTTTAAAGTTGTGTTTTTATTGCTGTGATACAGAATTCAAAGAACGAACAAATTGTAGAATGGCCAGTTGAAAGAGGAGATTCTGGTTAGTGAGCTCTGGCGCCACCTTCAGCCCAAAACGCGTTGTCTCAGTGTAATGAAGGTCTTCTCCATTAGTTTATTAGTTTACAAGCTTACAACTCAGACTGTCACAGGAAGTGATGAACACACAGTGACAGTATTTTCAGAAACATGTTAGGAATTTTATGACGCAGGTGGATCTAGAGTTCAAACTTCTGCTTATACAGACTGCTTTTATCCTGGAGACATCATCTCTTTTGCTTTCACAGGATATGAGGATTACCGCTCTCCATCTGTGTGTGAGTTCACTTCACTGTGTCTCCAACAACACGTCAACAATGTGTGTTTGCAATGTGAGAGGTTCATGCTTTAAAGGCAGCCATTAATGCAGCAGCTAATTACACTTTGTACAAATGAAAGAGGAATCTTGACCTGCAGAGACACGACTTCTCTGTGTCTGTGTTCATAGACGTTCAGTGTAAGTAAACAGCAAATCAGTTACCAGTTGGTTTTAAAAGTATGAATTTTTTCACTATTGGTGGAGTTTAAACTGGAAGACAAAATATCAAGTTGTTAAAGTTGAGCCAAATTATTATTAGAGCACATTTAAAATGATCAGGCTAGAGGCTACAATATAACTGATCGTGCTTCAATTATATCATCAATCTAAACATGTTTGCTCTAAATTCTCTGAAACCTCCTTTTTTTGCTGGTGAGTCCTTGCGAGGAGGCAGCAGAAGTAGCAGTGATGCAAACCCAGCTCTAAGCAGTGTAACTAAGGGAGGGTCAGCTGATCGAGCCCTAACTGGCTGCAGGAGAACGGTCTGTCTCCTGAATCCAAACTGGGAGCTGGTTCCACAGAAGAGGGGCCTGAACTGAAGGCTTGTTGCTTCATTCTCTGGTCAGTGTGTAACTCTTGGCCTTTGGCACAAGATGTCGTCCCCCTTTTACTCAATTAAACTTTAGTGAAGAACATCCAATTACTCTGACACCTGTTCAGTAGAGTCTCTTCATCTGCTGGCCTCCTCCAACTCATCCTGACATCCTCTATAATCTGTAGATGACGTCAGAATAATGTCTAATCAAATTAAAAGGAGTTTGAAATGCATTTTCTTAATTTTTATAAGTGTTTGCAACAACAATCTTCTGTTTTACAGGTAAAGGAAGACAAAACAGAGATTATTTCAGCAAATTCCAAGGTTTCAAAGCACCAGATTCACTTCTTGTTGATGCTACTGACACTAAAACTGCTTGAGCACCTGGAACTTGGGTGTGATTTTAGATACTGGGCTTGACTTCGAAAAGCATATGTTCTTCAGGGCTGCCTTTTATCATTATTTCTAAAGTGTGCTGGTTCCAGTCTCAGACTTTTCAAACAAAACGCATTCATTGTCAATGTCCAGGGTTATTTGACCCAGTGCTTTGAGTTCTTGCGTTTTGATGTCGTTTTGTATTATAGTTTACGTTCATTTTGTTAGTCACGAGTTTATTCAATATTTTTAATTGTCTCCCCATTTAGTTCTTGTCTATTAGGTTCCCCTTGTGTCTTTGTCCTCTGTGTCCCTCTCGGTGTGTTCAGTGTTTATGGGTCTGTCCTTGTGTCTTCTTTCCCTGCTCTGCTGCCATGTTCCTCTCTTTGCCTGTTTGCCTCTTCTATCACGTTTTTCCATGTTTCCCCAGCACCTTATGTGTGCCTCATTCTGTCTCTGTCTGCCTGCTTGCTCATTTAGTTTGTGTGTATTCCCAGTTTAGTTACTTTGTATTTTTGGTGTTCAGCAATAAAGGTGTTTTTTGAGTTCAGTCTGTCTCCGTGAGTCTGCCTTTGGGGTCCAGTTCATGACATGCATACATATTTTAGATTCTCTGTAATTCTCAATCTTGTTTTGAGCACATCCGTTCATGTTGTGGAAATATCCCATTTAATTTGATTAATTTGTTGCAAGCTATTACCCATATATATATATATATATATATGTATACATATATACGTATACATACACACACACACACACACACACACACACAGAGAGAGAGAGGGAGAGAGATGTATATGTATAGCATCTTTTGGTTGTTATTAACATGTTTGCTCTGGTGCCAAACATCGTCCAACATTGTCTTTCCCCTAATAAACATCACAGCCTGAAAAAGTTATCAAAGTTTTCAATCAGGATTATTTTTAAACCTAAACTTGATATTTCTGAAAGGCTTCTTCTTCTTCTTCTAACTGAAGCAGGAAGTTGTGTAAATTTTCAAATAGATTATGGGTAGGTCTCATACAGTCTGCTGAATCAGGACTACATGTTCTTCAGGGAAATCCTGAGGGGATGAGCATTAGCACCCAGATTTCCAGAGAGCAAATCACAACACCTGTCTGTAAAATCTCCCAAGCTGTTTGTGCCTCTGTGCTGGGGAATTTAGGCCAGGTCAGGTCAGGCTACCTGTTAGACTTCTGGTCAGCATGCTGCCGAGTGGTGGAAATGAAAAGAAGGCAATAAACTAGTCGAATAAACATCTAGGTAACATATGCTAAAAATTTACTTTTATTTTACCTAATGAATAAAATAATACATTTTTAATAGAATTGTATTAATTTGGGCTTTTTAGTCTTCTGGTTACATGCTACAATTTTCTAATAAAGTATATTTTTTCTTTAATTTTCTTTCCTGTAGTTCCCACATTTCTGATCACTGGATTAATTATTTTTATGAACTATAGCTGTATGTTTACACATATGTGTGCACGCATATATTTAACATTTACTATAGTAAACTTTGACTGACTGTCAGTTTTAGAGTTTAGGTTAAAAGTGGGTTAAGACTCCTGAAAATGAAAGTCCAAAATGCATATTTTGTGTGTGCTGAGCAGTCTGTGTGTGTAAAGTGCTGTAAATGTTTTTCTTACTTACAGTTTGCACATGAGATTTTGCTAAACCAATGAAAGTGTACCAATCTGCTTTTCCTGCTTCTTGAGGTGTGAGAGAGGCGCGCCTTCATGTGAAGAGAAACAGGCTCCATATGCTGCTCTAATCCAGTCCAGGTGGTCCTGTCTGCTTCTATTAGAGGAGGCTGCCAGTGGGGGAGACTCCACCAGGCTCACAATGAATCCAAAGGCTGGCTTACCAGCTTACTAGGAGTTGCTCTCTGGCTGCCTGCTTTCAAAACCAACTTCTAAAGATAGAGATACTTTTTATCCATGTAGGTTCACCTTGTCAAGTGTTGAGTTGTAGAGTTTGTAGAGTTGCTTAGGTGGACCAAAGTGCTAAATACGCAATCAGCAACACTTAATTCAATCAACAATTAATGCTCTAATTTGATATTGAGCTTTCTGTTGAAAGATAAAAGTGCACAAACAAATCATTCAAGTTTTGTCCTACGATTTCTAGTCCTTTATAAGTGACCTTTGTTTTGTTCTGTTGTTAAAAGAAACGATCTTGCACAGGTGTAATAAACTTTTATTCAAGGCTTCTGAGCATATTTCATGATCAGGAATGGCATTCAACTCAATAAATATAAACACACAATAAATAATCTACAACTAACAAAGAGTATATAATGTTTGGGTGTAAAAGTGACAAACAAACCAAATACATTTGTAAATTATTTTTTACCCTTTAGATGAGTGAGGCTAACGAAATCAGGACTAAAATATGAACCCACAATCACAAATCTACCCTCAGATTCTGCTCGTTTCTCAGTTCACAAGTCAGGAAAAATGATTTAGAGTACAAATGATTCTTACATGCGTCCTTCGTTCATTGTTTACAAAGTGCATTTCATATTAACTGTTCATTACTTTCATTATTTTATTAAATATCTTCGAGTCCTCGTTGTGTTTTAGGAACTTTTTGCATACTGAATGATCTGCTGAATATTTCTCCTTGCAACCACCTTCTTTTGTTGATGGCAATTATGTAGTTGATGGTTTAGTAACAGGACTCCAGTGCAGTGCTGCACTTCAATAAATTGTCAAAAATCAACGCAGCACAAAAACATCTTTCCATAGCTGGATGATTGAACATGCATCAAGACTACAGGTACATTTCTACTACATAATGCAGTTTACTAAAAATCTGTCTTTATACTCTAGACACCTCAGAAATGACAAAGACTCTTTACACTGGCTGTGCAGCTCATTTTCTATGTACTCTAACACGCACTTATTCAATTGTTGGGGATCTATTAACATTTTTCTAGCAGAATTTTCCTGTCAGTTTGAGAGTTTTTAACTGCTATTTGAATTATTTCAGGAACGTGTTGTGTTGCTCTTTGTGTTGATAATGCCTACTCTACTGGCATTATCTGTAATCAGCTCTGTAAAAGACAACATCACTCAGGTTTGTAATCAAACTGTGTTCATTTGAATTCACAGCTCTGCTCTCCCATCAGGCAGTTGATTTTCCTCCACCAGGTCTCTGAAAGGCTCTTGATCTTATCAGGGGTCTTCTTCCTGAGCGTTAGCCTCTTCTGCTGCTGGATGTTGTTGCTCTCTGTGTACTGGATGCTAGCTAAGATAGCCGAATCAAAAGTGTCCTTCAGGTTTTTCTGAGTCAGTGCTGAGCACTCTGCAAAACTCGCTGCCCCGAGCTCCTGGGCAAGCCGCTGGCCCTCCTCTGTGGACACTGGCTGCTGCTGGTTCTGTGCCAGGTGGATCAGTACTTGAACATCTTCTCTCAGGTCCAGCTGGGTGCCTACCAGGACCACGGGCATGCTGGGACAGTGCTGACGGATCTCGGGAAGCCATTTGGTAGTGAGGTTACGGAAAGAGCAGGGACGGACGACGCTGTAGCAGAGGAGGAAGACATCAGCATTTTTGTAGCACAAGGGCCGGAGGCTCTCCAACTTCCCCTGCGTGAATATGAAGACAAACCAGATTATAATCGAGCGGATTTGTTTTACAGACAGACAGGTGGCTTCATTCAGCGTTTGTGTCAGTTATTCCCACAGAAATCAACATCAGCAGTGTATCTGTCTCGCCTCATGCCTGCTGACTCCACTGAGGAGATAATTATTCTTTTATAACCCTGTTACAGAAATATTGTGATTGCTGGTTTTCACTCATAAAAGAAACACAGATAAAGTATAATATATAGAAATAAATAATATAGTTTATTTATTTACACTGATCAGAACTGAGCACAAGTACTTTAATGAGTGTTTTCAGCAGCTTCTGTTATGCTGATGTTACTGCTATTGGTCTTCCTCATACAAGATTA